TCCAACAAACACATTATCAATAGGAATCTGATCTAAAACAAATACACCCAAAAACTTAACGAAACAGTTGTGAAGTACCGGACACTAACAAAGGTAAGTTCTATATAACAAAGCATGATGAAATAGGTTTCATAACATATATATTTTTAAAACTGAATGGGATGATCTTCAACCTTGTGATTGATTGGATACTAATGAACACAGTAGACAGGACATTAAGAGGCATACTATGGACTCCATTCACTATGCTTGAGGACCTTGATTTTGCAGATGATATAGCACTCCTATCACATAAACATGAACATATACAAGAGAAAAGTAACAGACTAAACTGCACAGCAGAAATGGTGGGACTGAGAATAAATACAAAGAAACCTAAGATCATGACAAACAGTCCAAACCAACAACCGGTGACCATAAGTAACCACTCACTTGAAAATGTAGAACATTTCACATATCTTGGCAGTGTGGTGTCGATACTGGGAGGGACAGAGGAAGACATACAGTCACGTCTGAAGAAAGCAAGAGCTGCTTTTGGAAGGATGAGGCAAATCTGGAAATCCAACAATTACTGCAGAGGAACAAAACTCCGACCCTACAAGAGCATCATTTTGCCAGTTCTTCTTTATGGAGCAGAATGCTGGAGAATGACCAAAAAGGATGTACACAAGCTGTCCACCTTCCACCACCCATGTCTACGTAGAATTATCAAAATTTTCTGGCCAGATACAATCTCAAACCTTAAACTACTTCAAGCCACAAACCAAGAAACTTTAGACTTCTGATATACCTGCCAAAACAGCTCTCACATGGACACCAGAGGGAAAGAGAAAAATGGGGCGCCCAAAAACAACATGGAGACGAACGATGGAAAGTGACCTGAGTGCGGCATCTTTGACATGGAAAAACTGCACTGAAGATTGCACAGGACAGGAAAGCATGGAAAGTCCTCTCTGAAACCTCATGTGCCACTGGGCATAACGAGAACTGATCATGATAGCCCCTAGACTGGCTGGATATGATCATCATTCGAGTCCAACAAACAAATTATCAATAGGAATCTGATCTAAAACAAATACACCCAAAAACTTAACGAAACAGTTGTGAAGTACCAGACACTAACAAAAGTAAGTTCTATATAACACAGCATGATGAAATAGGTTTCATCACATGTAAATTTTTAAAACTGAATGGGATGATCTAACAGAAAGAACACTCAGTAGTATGACCTAAACAATGTCTAGTCAGGAATAACTACTGGCCTGACTTTAAGTCACTGCTGTGGTTCTTCATTGCACCAAGGATAAATGAGGGCATAGTAAGATCATTGCATGTTGAAGTAAAAAAGGAAATTTATGGCAAAATGGCGACCTGTGTGTCATAGTAGCGAATGCCGGCCGCTTAGGGATGGTTTGTGCTGTAGTAAAAAAGAGAAGTGTCTTGTCATAGTGTTAGATGTTGGTAGTTTAGGTTGTAGTAAAAGTGAAAACAAAATGGTGACTGTTGTGACATATTAATGGAGGCCGGCCGCTCACGGAGGATTTGAGTTATAGTAAAAATGAAAACTTTAGCAAAATGGCGACGTTTGTGTCATAGTAGCGAATGCCGGCCGCTCAGGGAGAGTTAAGTTAAAATAAAAAAAGGAAGTTATGGCAAAATGGCGACCTTTGTGTCATAGTAGCTAATGCCGGTCGCTAAGTGGTGGTTTGAGCTAAAAAAGGAGAACACACGATAGAAGGACGCGTGTCTTGTCAGAGTGTTAGGTGTTGGTAGGTTAGGTTGTAGTAAAAGTAAAAATTTAAGCAAAATGGCGACCGTTGTAACATAATAATAGAGGCCGGCCGCTCATGGAGGGTTTTAGTTGTAAAAATGAAAACTCTAGCAAAAGGGCGACCTTTGTGTCATAGCAGCGAATGCTACTATGAGTACTGAACGGCCGGCATCCAATAATATGTCACAACGGCAGCCACTTTGCTAAAGTTTTCATTTTTACTACAACCTAAACCCTCCCTAAACTACCACCATCTAACCCTATGACAAGATACCCACCCTTATGTCGTACGTTCTCCTTTTTACTACAGCTCAAATCAGCTCTGCGTGGCCAGCCTTCGATATCATGACACAGGTGATGATGATGGCGCCCGAGCCACCCTTTCTCATATATCAAGCCACCTTCCTAAGTTTCTTTATCTAAACACTGAAACGGCCGCCCGTCACTGTCACCTATAAGTCTATTTTCATCCCCTAAATTGTTTCGTTTTAAAACATATTTAACCCCCGCTAACAAACCATCCCTAATTTTTTTTCTATTACAGAGCCCATAAACCAGCACCAACTCTATTTGTCGCCCTGTAAAAGGGCCACATACACTACTGTTAGTTACTCGTCTCTCAGGCAGATGCACTCCGACTTTTTTGTGAGGGAAGCAGTGGGTCTGCTGAAGTCTCCCCTCTCTCTCTCTCTCTTTCTCTCTCTTTCTCTCTTTCTCTCTCTCTCTCTCTCTCTCTCTCTCTCTCTCTCTCTCTCTCTCTCTCTCTCTCTCTCTCTGAAACCCGAAACCCATAGGGGGAGAACACGAAACAATGCTGGAACCTTTGCAAACCAGACATGCAACGATTTCCAAATACAGTAAAGACTCGTTAATACGAATTCTTAGGGAGCGAGATTTTTTGTTTAAAAAAATACATGCTAGCCGGGGACTGATAGATGCACTATAAATTATACATTCCTGCTTATAGAAAATGGTGTTCATTTTAGCCGAGTGTTCAGAAGTTCAAAACAATTACTGTGCATCAGAATAGATCTGCCTAACATTATCATCATGAAGCAGGTACTCTACAGAACGTCGTTTCCATTTCAATCTGCCTGAAAGAAATTCGCCAACTCTTTTACCTCTTGCACTTCCCTACATAACGTATCTCTTATATCCTTGACCCCTCTTCGTTCTGGTCGGCCCCTGCTCCTTCTTCATGGTTTTATGCCTTCTGTTACTATTCTTTCCAATCCGTCACTGCGCTTGAAATGGCCAAAATATTTCAGTTCCGTGACAAGGTGTTGTTTACTAGCCAAATATCCTTTTCCTTTTCAGATCTTTTAGGATGTCAGTATTTCTTTTCTTCTTGGCCCATAGTATTCAAATATTGTTTCTGTAGAATTCAGCTCGAAATCCCCTATTTTATTTTCCCAAATGAACGCCAGATTATCCATGACTCACATCCGTATGTTGTTACAGGGAAGATACATGTTCTAAAAATATTGACTTTGATTTCCTTGCTGGTGCTTAGCCATTAACTCTTAATGCTGTTTAGTGTTTGCATTGCTATGGCTAATCTTTTTCTGACTTATGTAAAACTGTCTTTAGTGCTGTTAATATGGATTCTGTTAAAAACGATGTATAGGAAAGATATTAAATCGTAGACAGATAATACGCCTAAAAATATGCAGAAGACTATTAAGTGGGGAGTTCAATTCAGTGCTTTACTTCATTATTGTGCGTAATGTGTAGGGGGCGGCGTGGTCTCGAGGCATGGTGTCCGCCTCGAGTGCTAGAGGTTCCGGTTTCAATCCCCGGTAAGGGCTGGGATTTGTTCACGTGGACTTAGACTTCTAGTAATTCCCCCTGGTCTCTTGGCAGTGCGACTGGACGCCCGCGTACATTGTGCAGATAAAAAATCTCTTAGCAGTTGAAATCGGAAAAAGTATCCTAACGGCGCTGCCCGGACAAAATTTGGAGTTAAAATCTACCCAAAGGATCCTCGCCGGTGCTACAGAGACTGTGCACTGTGCTGAGCTTCTTCGGACTCAGACTTGAGATAGAAGAAGAACGGAGCACTTATGGGCTACACTCGTATGCCATGATGTTGATCCGTTGCTCAACATCAAAACCTCAAAACCTCAAAACTATGCGTAATGTGGCTATCTGGCTACTACAGAAATATGTATCTTCCATAGCATCTTTTACTCCTTCCGAATTTATTTCCAAAATAATGCGACTTATTATGTTTCCAGGGAGGAGTGACTGGCCGAGGGGTTACAGCTTTTGGGTTCTCATGTGGAAGACCAGGGTTCGACCCTCGGTAAGGTGATGAAGTTTTTCTGTCGGGGGCACCATCCTATCATGCAGAGTCCGTGCCGACAGCACTAGCCATGCAGTCCTACATCCTCAGAATCACGACCTCCCCCCCCCCCCCCCCACTCCCACCCCTCAATCCCACGGTCTACATCGCCCTAAAAAAAACGGAGGTAGTGGCAGTTCTTTTAACATGTTTCCAAGAACTGATGGCAAAATAATTCTTCTACAATCTACACACAGGTCAGCCTTTTGTAAATCTCTTGCATACAAATAGTCATACTTTTACTTAGGTTAGGGACAAAGTTTTATTGAAAAAATGCGCCACGACTAATAAAAGTTTGGAAAACACTGATTTATACACTGGGTGGGGTTTTGAGTGTCCAAATATGGCGAAGGGTTCATAGCCTAGCACTCTAGGCCAACGACTAGCGCGCGCTGCCGTACATTTGTTGCTGCGTGCCTTCCGACAAGCAACGAGCAGTGAGTGCATCATGAGAACGCAGTGAGTGCCAGCGATTGTATGGCGTGCCTCAGTACATTCTCCCCAAGAGACAGAATGTCTTCAAAGATAAACAAGGGGTTTCAGAAGCGTCTACTGTCCTACTCTTGTTTGTGAAAGTATTTAACACGCCCATTCATCGTGTAGGTTATGTTGTGATTACTGCCCTCCATCACGTGCGCTGGGTAAAGCCCCTGGGTTGAAAGTATCGGAGCATATGTCTTGTAAAAATGCCCGGCTCGATTTCGTCCCTGCCTGTTGTGTGTATGCCGTGAGAACGACTACTGCTAGCAGTGTGAGTGTGTCTGGCACCCTGCTGTAAGTGTACATAACCCCACATTTGCCAACCTCGAACGGTGGATCCATACTTCTCACACAGCAACACTAAACAAAAATACGGCTGAACGAAATCTAGTTTCATATAATGCAATGTCTTTAAAGGTAAAAACCCTGTGAGGAATCACTTATATGATGTTGTTTTTCTTGTTGCGAATTCTTTTGATTGTTTTGTGAGTCAGTGCCATGCAGCGGAAGCGAGTTCATTATCAACACAAATACAGACTATTAAATGCCGGTTATAACTTTGCAGTGTCCTATCTTAGACTGCGCCAACTTTGCATTTGACAGATAGAGAACAATAATACTGTTTGAAGTTTCATTTTGAAGCTGTTAGTGTTCTTCCAGTCAGGAAGGCAAATCAGCTGAGTTTATTACAAATGCGGAAACGTAAACTTTAAAAAAATGATTGATTTAACAGACATTAGGTTGCACAATTTATTCCACAAGACTCCGAGCAGACTTCTAATAATAACACCGGAGTACAGCCATTTTCCCAGGTCGACCCAGCATTGAGTGGGTACCAGATGTAGTCTCAGGAAGTAAAGGCGGCCGGTGTGATGCTGACATCATCACCCATCTTGTGCTGATTGGTCTATAAAAATATAGGTCTAGCCCTATATGCTCTATACACCTAAAGGCGTGGAAAAGGGACCTTTACTTTTTACTTACATCCATTCTAGTTAACTAGTTCATCGAGACAACAGCTGGCACCATTTCTGTGTCTTGTAGATTCTAGTTCGCCTTTAAAGTATTTTAAACCACATAAATCATTTGCTAAGCAGTGAGGACAGGTTGACTTTGGCAGATACCTATATTTATAGTTATAATCCTCTATCTTATGCTATAGAATATACTAAACAGGCTTGAATAGCCTCATTGTGAATATGAAACAGCCATCTATATGGTGGTTATAAATAATTTATGCTGTAAATGCACATGATGTGCATGTAAACATATGTGACTGTGAACTAGTTATTTCTTGTTAAACAAAAAAATGGGAATATCCTGGGCTTTTTCGTGTGTGCAAGGGAGCTAACATGGCACATGTTGGTCTGTTTGTTTATAGGTTCAAATCTCCTTATGGAGTTTTATCAATTGATTTGGGCTTAAGGTGCTTGCAGTCTATAATTGGTTACCAGTAAAAAATCTGGCAAGAAATTTGGCTGGCAAAAGAGGAACAAAATCATTTTTCAAGCACCAGTTGAGCTACAACAAAATTTGAAGAGATGACCTTGTGTCTAATTCACCTCATGTCTGATATTATTATTCATTCAAAACAACAGCACACACACAGTTATTATTTTACAGTAACTGTTATCTGGGTAACATATAGTTAAAACATATTTCACAGTAACTGTGATCTGGGCAACACAGTTACAACATATTCCTGATTTCTTTGGCTGCCAGTAAAGAGTAAAGATGATATACAAACAAAATTTAAAAAATAATAATTTAGTTGTGCATTTATAATAGCAGTCTCCTCAGCCTTTCTCTTCTTTCTTTTCTTCTTCTTCTTTTTCTTCTTCTTCTACCTCTTCTTCTTTTTCTTTTTCCGCTTATTCTTCTTCTTATTATTATTATTCTTATCATCCTCCTCCTCTTCTTCTCAATCCTTTATCCCCTCCACTCCCTCATCCTCCTTTTAATCCTTCCACAGCTTGCTTCTCTTCCTCTCCTTCAATTTCTTTTTCACCCTCTTCTTCCTCCTCCTCCTCACACACACACACACACATACACACACACACACACACACACACACACACACACACACACACACACACACACACACACACACACACACACACACACACACACACACACACACACACACACATATATATATATTTAATGCTCAAAATAAAATAGAAAACAAGTTCTAAAATGTAGAATTACATTTTATCAAGCAGAATAACTGCACTTTCTGAATTATTTACAGTGAGTGTTACTGAGAACTTTATTCTGATACATAAAGTCCTACCTAAAAAATTCAGATAATGATGATTATTCTCTTTCATTTTCCAGTATTCAAACCTTTACCTCAGAAGTTTATAATACCCCAGAATCAAGGAGCATGTACCATTCTTTTGTTTGGTTACACTCTGTTAACTTTTGAAAAAAGTATTTGCTCACATTACAGAGGTATACTCTATTCAATTTCATTTTGTGCATATATACATGCATTGACATATACACATATAAAAGACAGTTTCTAACTGTCCTTCTATTGTATTGTGTTATTACTTTATATTAAAGCATATAGAAACTAGGCCTGTACTTGGGGATGGTTTTAACGACCCAGTAATATCTATTGCCATCTCCTCATTTTCTTAATCTATGTAAGCCCCTTACAAGAAAGGCTGGCATTTTGTGTTATGGTTTACAGCTAGGCTGCGGTTGCCCAACACATCTGATTTCAGCAAACCCTTATTTAGTCACCTTTTGTACATGCTTGGGACATTGAGTCTCTTCTGCCCACGAACCTGCATGAGGACAATTCTAGTTAACAAAGCCTTTTAAAGGTCAGAAAGAAAAACAAAATGAATGAGGACAAAATTGAACAGATTATTTAACCTCTTAGGCTAAAAGATTCCTGCTAATTCTCACACAAACATTGGAAATGTTACATGAGATGCTCAGACAGTTAGAAAAGGTCTACTTCACAAGTAAAAAAATAGAGGTCTTTTTTTTCCTAGACCTATATTTTTATAGGCCAGTTGGCACTTGGTGGGTGGTGTGGTCAGCATCACCCCGGCCGCCTTTACTTGCCAGGGCTGCACTTGGTACCCACTCAAGGCTGAGTCGACCTGGGAATCAAGTCACTTTGGAAAAAAGTCTGGCTCCATCAGGACCTGAATCCATGACCTTCCGATCCAGAGATTGTTATCTATCCGCCAACGCCACACTTCACAAGTGATAGTTGAAAATGTAAAATCAAGATGGTGTTTGATAACAGTTTTGCATAGTTGTGTGTGTCTGCAATGTGAAAAATATAAATACCCAGCACACAAATTTGTTGTACCAGCTTCCAAGACCAGAAATCACAATTAAATAGAACTGCACAAACAGTGAGGATTGAAAATATATGACAAGATATCCAGTCTCCGTAACACATGACATAAAACAGCAAAGAACAAAATACCAAGCAAGTGAATGGAAAGTATAAGTAACTCATATTGTTCACACCCGAAGCACATCAGGCATATGGTGATAGTCTTATATTGTTATTGTTGAATCCAGCACACCATGGGTGATGTGGTCTGCATTCCAGCAGCTGCCTTGACTTTCCAGGATATTCTATTGGAACCATTTTAGGCAGGAAGCCCAGGGCAATTTTTGTTTAAATCAGTCTCAGAATGGATTCAAACCCATGACTATGTGGCTGGAAGGCAAGCCAACTAGCCACTGCTAGTGTAGCTTACCATAATAATGGTTGTTTTAATTGTAACATTTAGAGAGTACAGCATCATCCGTAAACTAGTTAGAGATACAAGACTGATCACTAAAACAAAGATTCATTCAACAGAGATATTTTGTTTTCTACACCTTACAGCAGTGGCTCTCAACCTTTCTAATACGGTGACCCTTTATAAAGTTCCTCATATTGTGACGACCCCAAGCATACAATTTTTTTCGTTACTACTTTATAGCTTCAGTAAATATGTGTTTTCTGATGGTCTTCGTCAACCCTTGTGAAAGAGTCATTCCACCTTCAAAAGGGTCACGACCCACAGATTGAGAATGCCTGTCTTCCAGCACAGATGGCTGGCAATCATATCAGTGCCCATATGTCCACATCTAACACTCAACCCAGAAAGGCAGTTGTGTGATATAAACCGACCCTTCTCCACGCCTACATGGTGGTTGATGTTGTCAGCATCACGCCAAAACCCTTGTGATTACACACATTTAATTCAGAATAAATTTGAAAGGGTATATTTGAAAGTCTAAGAACTCTGCAAAGGAAAACTGATAGAAATGATGGCTTGTATTTTTTAGAAAAGTTTAGAAAACAAAACAAGCAATTTCCTTGCATGAAGCTTGACACGTGATCCTTGAATTGCTGAAAATTTAAAGAGTATGTGATGCAGTGTTTCCAGAAACTCTTTAAGACAACACAAAGTTTCCAACAGAATTGCCAAGCCAAATGTTTAGTACAATCTAGACAGAGCAACTCACAGTATGGAATGACAATCAAAGGGAGATTATCCAGTGAACAATTTTTGGGTTAGAAGATTTTTAATCTGATTTTGACCGTGGATGGCCTTTCCAGCTGGCAAGTTGACCAAGTTTCTCTACATATCATGATCTCAATGTTATTTCTTGGAGCAGCCACAATGAAAGGTTCTCAAGATCCTTTAGTTGTTTTGCTCTGTCTGTCTCCATAAATCTTTAAATTCTATATTCTGGTGTTTTCTTTTGTCATAATGAGACCAAGAATAATGGTTACCTCTCCCTGTGATCTTTGCCATGAGTTGTCTTTGGATGACAGTAAAACAGAGTAGAAGACAATGGCCACTGTTTAATGTGGATTAGATTTAATTTAGTAGTAGTAGTAGTAGTAGTAGTAGTAGTAGTAGTAGTAGTAGTAGCATTTTTATTGACGTCAGCATTTGTTGGCTGATGTGGTTAGTATCACACAGCCACCTTTACTGCAAAGAATATTTCCTCATAACCATTTTTGTTTAAGTAGCCTGAATATTTGGGTCATTTTTTTTAATGTGCACAATAATGGCTGCACTTGGAACCAAAAAAAAACACACACAAAAAGTGAAAATTGTTACCATTGTTAATGCTGAATTCTCCACACACAAAAATGTCAGATAGATAATAAATGAACCAAAATTTCTTGCAATTTGCGAAAACCATCTTTTACTACAAGGTATTGTAACTTTGCTAAAGTCAAAAGCATAACAATTTGTAATGTTATTTACTACAGTTCAGAACATGAAAACCAAATGACACAACTGACTAAATATACAACATAGTACAATCAGCACATGGCAGTTAACTCTTTCTCTACCAGGCAATGCGTGATGTGTTCACTATTTCATAGATCATTTAACTCTGTTCTGGGCTGTTGTCACTTTATTGTTATAACTTTCTGACTCAAAAGGAGTTAATTTAATATTTATTAGGATTGAATGAGGATTGGCAACAACTGTTTGGGTCAGAAACTTAGTTAACAAGTAGAAGTAAGTGGCTTCATCAAATAGCTGTCTATGATCAAAAGTTGAAAACCCTTTTAAAATAGATAGCCGTGGCCATGCTTGCATACAGATGTTATTGAGGATAAAATTTCCAATATATGGCATAACTACTGATATGTGTAAAATATAAATAAATGTCACTTATTAAAAAGCCAGAAACATACTAACAGAAATAATGGTCAGTTTCCCTCCCAGACAGTTGTAGGACATTTTGTAAAATATAATTGTTGTTATTCTATCAGAAGGAGACACCTTGTGATCAACAGCTACATCTTGCAGCGCTGCAGGGTAACTTGGAGCTGTTACAGAGAACGCTGAACACTGGTCGTGTGCATGTTGACTGCAAAGACAAGGTAATCTGCTGTGATATGTTGTTGAGCATGCACTGGGTGGCTTTCATAGATGTCAATGCAACCAAATCATACTGACTAAGCTGTACATTATTTTGAAAAAGAAAGTGAATGTTTTTTATTTTTTTACATTATTAACAGGCTTCATCTGTCAGCAGCTAAGATCAGTTAGTTCATTGCACTGGTGGAAAGTGAGGTGGAGGTGGAAGAAGGGGGGCCTAGATTACATTGTGTAAGAAAAAGGATAAGATTATTTGAGTGAATGAATGAAACAGTATTAAATACTTTTAGCCCATACACTTATATATAGGCACAGATAAAGTAATTTCAAGAAAATTGTGTTCTTCCAAAGCAATGTACATGTATGAATATTATCAATGTATACCAAGCAGCACTTTGTGTATGATTTACTTTTTATATTGAGCTGGGGAGTGTAAAAAACTCAGTGAACAAAGCTTGTCCTGCAGGGTTGTGTATGATTTACTGTTTATATTTAGCTGGGCAGTGTAAAGAACTCAGTAAACAAAGCTTGTCCTGCAGGGTTGTGTATGATTTACTGTTTATATTTAGTTGGGGAGTGTAAAGAACTCAGTGAACAAAGCTTGTCCTGCAGGGTTGTGTATGGTTTACTGTTTATTTTAGCTGGGGAGTGTAAAGAACTCAGTGAACAAAGCTTGTCCTGCCAGGGTTGTGTATGGTTTACTGTTTATTTTAGTTGGGGAGTGTAAAGAACTCAGTAAACAAAGCTTGTCCTGCAGGGTTGTGTATGGTTTACAGTTTATATTTAGTTGGGGAGTGTAAAGAACTCAGTGAACAAAGCTTGTCCTGCTAGGGTTGTGTATGGTTTACTGTTTATATTTAGTTGGGGAGTGTAAAGAACTCAGTGAACAAAGCTTGTCCTGCTAGGGTTGTGTATGGTTTACTGTTTATATTTAGTTGGGGAGTGTAAAGAACTCAGTGAACAAAGCTTGTCCTGCTAGGGTTGTGTATGGTTTACTGTTTATATTTAGTTGGGGAGTGTAAAGAACTCAGTGAACAAAGCTTGTCCTGCTAGGGTTGTGTATGGTTTACTGTTTATATTTAGTTGGGGAGTGTAAAGAACTCAGTGAACAAAGCTTGTCCTGCAGGGTTGTGTAAGGTTTACTGTTTATTTTAGCTGGGGAGTGTAAAGAACTCAGTGAACAAAGCTTGTCCTGCTAGGGTTGTGTATGGTTTACTGTTTATATTTAGTTGGGGAGTGTAAAGAACTCAGTGAACAAAGCTTGTCCTGCTAGGGTTGTGTATGGTTTACTGTTTATATTTAGTTGGGGAGTGTAAAGAACTCAGTGAACAAAGCTTGTCCTGCTAGGGTTGTGTATGGTTTACTGTTTATATTTAGTTGGGGAGTGTAAAGAACTCAGTGAACAAAGCTTGTCCTGCAGGGTTGTGTAAGGTTTACTGTTTATTTTAGCTGGGGAGTGTAAAGAACTCAGTGAACAAAGCTTGTCCTGCTAGGGTTGTGTATGGTTTACTGTTTATATTTAGTTGGGGAGTGTAAAGAACTCAGTGAACAAAGCTTGTCCTGCTAGGGTTGTGTATGGTTTACTGTTTATATTTAGTTGGGGAGTGTAAAGAACTCAGTGAACAAAGCTTGTCCTGCAGGGTTGTGTATCCTGCCCATGGTAAAGTAGAACACCTGTGTGTTTGATATTGCCAGTTTGCTTTCCTCATCTACCTGCCATACCTTTCTGCTACAGAAAGTTTTTGACCAAATATTATATTCTTTACATCTGTCATAATTACTGCACTTATATATTTGGTTCATGCTTACAAATTTCCTTTGAAGACTAAATTTTCATGTGCTTTCATGGATGCATCTTTTGGTAAATTTAAGGGGAAAATATTCAATTAACTTCCAGTATTCACTGTTTTTTATTTGAAAATATTAAATCTCTAAACATAAAATCTTCTTTATTTTGGGCGGTATGGGGTCCAAATGTGAAGATTCTTCATTGAGCCTAAGTCTCTGTTTAACTTATTTTTTCTTCTATTATCTGTGCTGTGCTGTCTATGTGCGGGCATGGGTGCATGTGTGCATGTGTGTGGGTGGGTGTGGAAGTGTGTGTGTCTTTGTGTGTGAGAGAGAGAGAAAAAGAGAGAGAGAGAGAGAGAGGGAGGAAGGAAGAGGCAGGGCTGTTTGTGTGTGTAGGAATGTGGATGGGGAAAGAAAGTGTGTGATCAAATAGACAGTAATGTAATAAGATGCTCACTAAATTTGTTCAGTAATGATCAGAAACTTCAGCTTTACCTCATCACATAACAGACAATAAAAAGTACATTTGTAAATCCCAAACATTCTGATTAGTCCTGTCTGTGTTTCTTCCCTCATCTAATAGATAATGCATTTACACAGACGGTTCAGTGTCAAGAGGCAAAAGAAGTGCTCGGGGCTTCTTAGCAAAAGTTAATGGTCGACTTTTGGTGCAGGAGAGCCTAGCATATGATACCACAACTTCCAACTTAACATTGGAGGTCACTGCAGCTTTCTGCTGGCTAGAGAACACGACACAAACACACACATCGTGATTGTAACTGATTCAGAAAGCATGCTGAGGAAGATCAGAACAGGTATGCTTTGTGCAGAGTGGCATGCTTCGCTGCGGAGGACACAAGTGAGGAGTATTGTCTGGATTTTTTCACCGGGTCACGCCGGTGTGTTGGAAAATTAACAGGCAGACAGACTGGCTGGCTCTGCACAACTTGGTGGAATACTGCCACATGATAGGGCAGAGGTGGTTAGTGCCTTGTGGGAGAGCAGATGGATCACCACAGTCTGGTGAGATTGATGCAGCTGGGGGTGACGAGAGGTTCTGGCAGAAGCTCGAGGCTCAGAGGAAAGGCAAGACGGACGTTTAATCAGAAAGCTACTGGCACCATTAGTATCGGAACTCTTTGCTGGCTGCTGAAGATGGGGACGGAGTGCTTATGGGAATGCCCCGAGTGCTGTGATGTCGGTTCTTGAATCAAATCAAATCAATCTAATGGAATGTTCTTTTCTCTGATACACTTGTCTCTTTTCTTACAGTGCTGTGAGGAATGCTGGTTTTATGAGGCTAGCCCGTTTTTGTTACAGGCCAGTTACTGTTACATGGATGATGTGGTCAGATCTCATCAGCCACCTGTACTTCAAGTTTAGTGGTATCTGTTTTAGGCTCGGTCAACCTGGAAGCTCTATTAAGTATTGTTTTCAAATCATCATGTTCAACAAGATTTGAACAGTTGACCTATTGTTTTCAAATCATTATGTTCAACAGGATTTGAACAGTTGGCCACTGGCCAGTACCAAATATGCTAGTCACTGTGATATCACTGTGCTGTGTCATAATTGAAATTTTTTTTGTGTATGTCATTCAGGAGGGCACAACACCATTGATTTTAGCTGCAGCAAACAATCACTTAGATTGTGTTAAAGAGCTACTTGAACATGGTGCAGATCCAAATGCTAGACGACTGGTAAGTAATAACATTGTTCCAGCTTTCATTGTCCTGAATTAAAAATTTAAAAATTTATTAATATTAAGATTAAGTGATTTGATTTATGGTAATGACAATGAATGGGTGTGTTGTTTCTCTTTTTTCCCCATTTTTAGCAACTCTGTCTGCCAACTCATTTCCTTGTATGCCGCAGTGAGCTGGGATCCACTGGAGAACAATTTATTTGTTTTCTAAGAGTCTGTTTAGCTGGCGGATCAGTTCTATATCCATTTTGCCTCATGGATCCCAATAAGTCACCGTGCCAAAATGATCAAACCAGCTCCTCCATTTTTTGCTTTGCTACCTCTAATAATCCATCGGTATATAAGTGTGTCCACTGGTTTTTTGGTAAGTGTTGTAGACATGTTCAAGGATCTTTGCATGCAGTACTAGGTCACATTCTTCAGCCTTTTCTTTCCATGCCTGGGATTGTTGTTGTGACTGTATAGTTAGGCTGTTAGTCTGTATTGAATGCCTGGATCATCTTCCACATTGAAGGGTCTTTAGAAAGGATGTCACTATTTTTGGCCTAGTACAGTTTTGATATATGATGAAAGCTTTTTGTTTTTGCGCACCCTTTCTTCCCTTTGATGGCTCAGTCTCTGGAGGCCAGATGTTACCTGTAGCTGATTTATCGGTGTGCTTCTCGTACATCCAGTGATGATTCTGAGACCAGTGTTCTGTATTTTGTCCAGTTTGTTTAGATTTGATTCGGCTGCAGTGAAGTATGCTCCCATGCCATACTCCAGGTTTGGTCGTACATATCCAGTGTATACTTGTCGCACTTTTTTGGCATTTGTGCTCCAGCTTGTTCCAGTAAGTTTTTTCCAAAAGTCTGAGCTATAGGGCAGCTTTCCTTTGGGTGTCTTCAGTTTGGGAATTAAGGGTTAGTTTTTGTCGATTTGTACTCTAAGAAATGTGGGGTTGTTCTCGTTTGGAAGGATGTTGCCTTCTGGGTGTAGATCAACTTATTCTAGCTTGGTGAAAAGAGAGAAAGGAGAGACGATTTTGTTCTGGTTTATAGTGTCTCACTAAGAATCTGTCTATTTCTTAAAGCTTCCTTTATTCTTGTCATAGTTGTTTCTATATATTCACCTTGGGTCTATATGGCTGGGTCATCTGTAAGTACAACCTTGTAAATAGGAGTCATGAACTGCTTTGGGAAGTCATTGATGAAAAGAATAAACAGGTTAGGAGATATAAAATCTCCTTGAAAGACACCTGCCTATAATCTGAACAGCTTGCTCTTGTGTGCTTCCAGTCTGACTCTCATGCAACGTCTCTAAAGGAAGTCTCTAATCCAGGCAAACGTATGCCCTTTTATCCCATTGTGTGCTAGTTTTAGCAAGAGTCCTTTCTTCCAGACCTTGTCAAAGGTTTAGATCAGATCAAAGAAAGTAGCTAGCAGTTTGTATTTTTCTGGAAAGCATCTTTAATTTCTTCTGCAAGATATGAGGTTTGGTCATCAGTGCTTCTGTATTTCCTGAAGCCTGATTAGCTGAGATCCAATATTTTTTTTTATTTCAGAAAATTAACTCTTTCAGACCTATGAAGTTTGGCAGTTGGCCTACAGTAATTTCCCTTTACAAAAATAGCAGAGGGGGTACTGTACAAAAAAGGCAGTAGCCTATGAATTATATACTTCTAATCCCTATAAAGTATTTTTTTTTTTTTAAAGAGAAGTGAATATGCATTTTGAATTTGATGATAAGTGTATGTTTAGTACTGTTATGGTTAGTAGGAAAAAAGAATTCAGCAGGTGTTAATTTCACAACAACAGAATTTTACCCAAAAAAATTCTTCACTTACCATGGTTTTGCAGCCACAAGAGCACTGAATATCCAAATTTGAGAATAACGTTTTACATTTTTTTCAATTTCCTAACAAATTCCAAAGTTAACAGTTTCTGGGTTAGTTTAGCACTCAGAGGCTCTAAGTTCTCACAGAGTGTTAACAGAAATTTCAAAGAAAAAATGACAGAAAACTGGACCTTTACACACACACACACACACACACACACACACACACACACACACACACACACACACACACACACACACACACACACACACACACACACACACACACACACACACACACACACACACACACACATACTATTTACCTTGTACAGTTATATACAGATTGTAGCTGCAATGATTTCATTGTAGCTTGGCCATAGTATAGTATTGTCTATTTGTTTGGAGCACTTTCTTTCTCTTATACCCTAAATACTGTACCATGGAACATTCTCTGTGTCAGACTCATCAGAACTGCTGGATTCCCTGACAAGTGATCACTCAGCTGCCGCTGGTGTAAATTCACTGTCTGAATCACTTTCCCAAAAATCTAAAATTTCAGTATCATTATCAGAATTAAAAAACATCTGACTGAAACAATTTCAGAGCTTTAGCTGCAGAAAGACACATTCTGCGGCCAGTATTTGTGGTTGGAACATTGGTATCCGTGGCACTCAAAAATGAACTTAGAAAATGCACTGTTGAAAATAACACTAGCTATGAATCGGATCAATCTGCGCCCACATGTCATGGAACAGAGAATTTTTTTTAAAAGAAAACATTAGAGTAACCTGTTCTTAATTCTTCAATGGTTGTTCCGAACATTAGAAACAAATACGGAGCCATGTGAGAAGCAATATGTACGGGACATACGATCGACGCTGGCACTGTTGTTTAGGCAAATTGGAACTTCTCAGTCAACACTCACAGCGTTGCTCTGGCCTTAAAGAGTTAAATAACCCGTTATTCACTAATCTTTGCATGGTTTTTCTGAAGCAGCTTATGGGATGGAACTGAATTTGTTATATCAATTATGTTTTTTCCAAGTGTACATGCTTTGAGGGGGCAAAAAAATTTTTTTTTTTTGTGTGGCTTGAATGATGATTTCAAGATTCTGATTTGTTTCACTGTTAGAAAATGAAATTATTTGTGGCTCAGCGTTCTCACCTCTCAGGAGTGTATCCCAAAAATGAAAGCTCATTACTCCTGCATCACACTGAATGTATAAATTAGGGATGTACCGAATAGTGATTTTCACTATTCGGCTGAATACGAATAACGGGACCAACTATTGGGCCGAAAACGAATACGAATAGTGTATAGTGCATAAAATATATCTATTTTTAAAAAAAACACATTCATAATATCAATTGTACGCTGAACATTTACTTCACATAAAGTAGCACAGATTAGTCATCTTCTTCTTCAGCATTCTGAGCCCTTGAGTTTTACTGCTACAGATATCACTCGACTCCATTCATCTGTCTGGCTGGCCTTCTCTTCACAATTTGTGACACCAGTTGTTTGCAGATCTCCCTGGACATTTTCTCTCAAACTTCTTTTTTGTCTGCCTCGTGGTCTACGCCCATTCCTCTCTCAGGTGTATACAGTTTTAACTTCTCTGTCATCTGACATTCTTTCAATATGCCCCAACCATTTTAGTCTGTTAGCTCTCATGATGCCAGTGATCAATGATGATTTAAACAGATTATGTGTAAGGTTGTTGCTTCTCACTCTAAAATCCCTGCTGTTAGCATCTTTGATGGGTCCAAAGATTTGTCGTAAGACTGTTTTCGAAAACCTGTAATAAGGCCTCATCTCTTTTAGTTGTGCTCCAAGTTTCATAGCAATATAAAATGACGTTTTATATATTTTGATCTTGGTGTTGCGAGTCAGACCCTTTGACTTTAGCAGATGTTGAAGGGCAGAGTATACTTTATTTCTAGATTGTATTCTAGATTGTATTTCTTCTCTCAGCATGTTGGAGCAGTTGAAGTTTGCATCCAAGTACTTATATTTTTCCGTTCGTTTGATTTTTATATTATTGACTTAGATGTGGCCGGAGTTTATATTCTTTCTATATCTAGTTAGTATTCGTACAGAATAGTAAACATTTAAAAACATTTTATGTTTTGCATCCTTCAGTCATTCTGTGGTAACTAATAACTTAGGAATGAAAGAATCCTAAGAATTATAACAAGTAACTAAACTTGGAAATTGTCACTGACAGCTTAGTTATTGCATGAAAGCTGCATTAGCTTTCAACAAAACTAATCATTCCAGGTTGTCAGTATTAAGGCCGTGTATGCAGAAGTGGGTATAAGGTAACTACTATTTGTATTTGGCACGACCGCAACTATTCAGCCAAATACCGAATAGTTAATAGGTCCACTATTCGGCCCCGAAGCGAATACGAAGCAAACATTCGGTACAGCCCTAGTATAAATGCCAGGTTCTTCTCTCATGTTTTCTTTAGCACTTGTTCAATCAAATCTTTACTGTGGATTATTTTCCTCCTTTCATATGTTCTCTAGGACTGGGTCAAATCTTGAGCATGGATTATTTTCCTCCTTTCATATGTTCTCCAGCACTTGTTAAAATCTTGACTGTGCATTATTTTCCTCCTTTCATATGTTCTCCAGCACTTGTTCAAATCTTCAGTTGTTATTCTAATTTTCTTCTCTCATGTGTTCTACAGCATTTATTCAAATCTTAATTTTTTTAAATTAATATCCTCCTCTCTTGTGTTATAATCAATGCAGGTTATAGTGTTCATATTTTAACAATACGATGGTTTTTTTCTTTTTTTAATTGGATTGTATTTACAAATTGGTTTGCATTTTAGAGTATTTTAAACAATTGTATTCGATATTCACAAATTAAATACAGAATCAGAACTTTCACCTCCCACAGACAAAATTATTTATTTGATTGACCAGCTTCAGTGTTGAACTAACTGTGTTTACTGCTTGCAGACTGGCACATGTGCTTTGTTTTTTGCCGCCCAAGGTGGATTTCTGGACATTGTCAAGGTTTTGTTAGAACATAATGCAGATGCGGATCTGGCCAGTTATGTATGTATTATCCAAAGATAGAAAGGCCTTTTGAAATGTTTATGAGATATTGATGCTTAAATTTATAGTTTATTTTTATATACCTTTAATTAATACATGAAAAATTAACTTTACTAATAAATGTAAGAATATACCTGTCACTAATACTGCTATGTAGGTTTGAAATTATATCCACTTGCACAAGATAAGTGACGCACTCCGATTTTAATTCCTTTAAAACAAAGCCTCTAACTCATTTTATGAAGCCAAGTCAACCCCAAAACTTGTACTTACATTTTTTTGTATGGATTGAATATCAAGTCACTATAGTGGCAAGTAATATGGTTGTGAGAGTTGGAAATCATCAGTATCTATCAATAAGAAACTAGTCGCTTTCGAGAATAGATGCCTCCGAAAGCTATTGAATGTTCACTGGTCGGACTTTAGGTCCAATACATCTATAAGACAGGAAACAAAACAAAAATATGTGTCTGATTTTATTAGAATGCGTCGCTGGAATTACATCGGTCACGTACTCAGAATGGACATACAGAGACTTCCCCACCAAGCCTTCATATGGTCACCAGGGGGGTAAAAGAAAACAGGGAAGACCAAAAGAAACTCTCCGTAGAACCATCACAAGGGAGAGCTCAACCATAGGTCTCAGTCGCACTCAAGACCTACATCAAGTGGCAACGAACCGACAGGCGTGGAAAGCTATGACCTCTGCCCTATGCGCCATCTTTGGCACAAGAGGAATAACTAACTAACTAATAGTGGCAATGAGAACACTGACTTTTACATGACCCTGATTACTGATACAATCAATCAACTGTCTGCTGGTGTAAAAGAAACTAAGAAAGTGAGGAGAAGTGCTGCCTGGAAACAGAGAAAGCACAATTATGTCAGATGTCAGACTAAATTTAAAAAAAGAATGCCAGCACTAGAATGTTCAATGTCAAATTTATCTTTTGCATGCACAGAACATCATTGATTTGTAGCTGTCTATAATCTATCCTTTTCTGAAAATGAAGTATTGAGAATGTTCCTACACCCCACACAGAAATATTGTGACTACCTTGGGTAGTGAGGCTTGTGTGTATGAAGATAGTTCTGTAAGCTGGGCCAATAAGAAGAAAAATAAGCCCTCCATGAGAAAGAAAAACATTTACCAAAGGCAAATAATGGTGGCATTTTAAAATTTCACATCTAAGATAAATAAGCATTCCAATAATATACATATCATTATTAGAATACTAAATATGACAGTAACATGATGAATAGAACTTTTCATGTAACCTTACATTAAGGAATTTCTTGTATTTTAGGTTATTGTGAATATATTATATGTAATCATAGGATGGAGGAACACCATTATTTGTGGCCTGCCAGTGTAATCACCAGGATGTTGTAGCAGAATTGCTGGCCAAAGGCTCAGATATTCATCTGCAAATGATAGATGGAGCCACTCCCCTTTTCATTACTGCACAGAATGGTCATGCTGATCTTCTGCAGTATCTAATCTCAAAAGGTGCAGATCCCAATATAAAAAGAAAGGTCAGAAATATTTTGTTCTATTCATTAAATATACGTTGATTAAATTCTGCATAATTGTTTTCATTATATTTGGTTTTCCATTTGAATTAATGTGTTCTCTGGTTACATAACTTGTAGTACCTATTCAAAGATAATAGGTAGTATTTACTGTAGTACTGATATGAAACCTAGCGTAAACAAAGAGCACAAAACATTATATGTGGTGTCTGTTGTGAAGCTTTATGCATATCTCATGTTCTTCACATTTTCAGAAACTCACTTCAGTTTTAGTTGTGCTCTTTATCCTTAAATTTCGCCTGATTTCTTAAGCATGTTTTATAGCAAACTAGATTAAATTGCCTGGCCTCACCCGGGATAGTGAACGAAGTCTTATTCTCCCATCCTCTACCTCATCTTGGTTTCTAACAATGCCCTATATGCAGGCCTGTGAAAATAAGGGTCTAACTGAAACTATATTTAATATCCCATCTTTCACTTCATCTTTGTCTCCACCACTGCTGTATCTTTAGTCACTGTCCCTAAGTGCACCCGGGGCAACCTATGTAATACAGACACTAGTATTTAACAGTTTTGGAGAAAGACAAATGTTATGTTTTAAACATATATAAAAATGTAGTTCAAGAAAACGCTATAGTCATAAAAGGACATACAAATTTAACCCATAAATTGATCACGATTTGGGATGAGTTAACACTTCATTTAAAATAAATACACTGAAAAAAGAAAATGAATAGGATTTATAGTATAGATGTAAACTATGTGGGTGACAGCTGGTCATATGAGAACAAAAAAGAATACGGATTACTTACAGAGAATTTCTAGTGTAAAACCAAAAAATGACATTTATTTCAGTTATTGACAATTTTATTGACATTTCCTTATTTATTGGACTAACCTTATTTCTTCCAGTTGCAAACCATGTTATTTTGGTACTTCTTCTTCAGTGTTCATCTGAAGGTGTTAATGTATTGTGCAAATTTACAGTTTCTTCTTACTCTTTTGTCCCACTGCTTATAAAGTATCACAGAGAGGAGTTAGATGTAGTTACCTGTCTTTTTGCTAGTTGTGTAGCTTGCATTAATGTCAAATTATATTTCTTTAGTATCTCTTTTACACCATCCACCTGTATCTTTCTTGGTCAGCCTCTTGCCTTGTAGCCTGTGTTCTCATCTAGTATGCTCTAGCTGCTGACTGAGGTTGTTCCATTCTGACCAGGTGACCAAACCATTTGATTCTTTGATACTCTATGAAATTATTTGCTTGTACTGTGCCTACCATTGTTCTTAGTTCTCTGTTTGTGACTCTTGTCTCTTCTTGTTTTTCCCACCACATTTCTTATACATCTCATTTCACATGTTGTAATTTTGCCATTTACAATATGGCTGTGATATGTATGCCTTTCAGCAACACATCCGATGTCTGCAAGCATTTTTGCTCATGTTAGCCTTTCCAGGATGTCAGTATTGTGTAAAAGAAACTACTGTTTCTTCTGTTTCGTCTTTGATCATTTTGTCAGACAAACATATCAGGATGCCAGTAGCCTTGATTAAAGGTATCGTGTAGTCCAAATTTCCCCAAGTGTCACACAGCTTTGTCTTTAATGTGGTGGGAACAGGCCAGATGGCCTTTCTATTAGCAGCAAACAGTCTACAGTGTTGGATTATATGCTCAGCATTTTCAGGTGCCTAATTACTGAGACACATCTTTGTGTCTTCTGTACTAAAATATAACTGGCCATATGTTTGCAAAGTCTGTTGCACCCTGTCCTTAATCTAAATATGATGCACTGTTCTCTAGAGAGGTGTTGAGAGATGATTTAGTATGTGTAAAAAGACATCTTTTTATACTAGAGGTAAACTCTAACTGTTGAAGTACTTCATGACTTTTCATTTATAGGATATGGCCAGCCCTCTTTGGATCGCTGCACAGATGGGACATACTGATGTTGTCAGAGAGCTATTGCTGGCAGGAGCAGAAATAGATGCTATGAGAGAGGTGTGATTATAAACATAGTACTTTAGAAAGCTTATTATTATTGTCTGGTTATTTAGATTTAGATGTGCTTACCATAACTTCTAGGTATTTCTTCTTCTTCTTTTTCTTCTTCTTCTTCTTCTTCTTCTTCTTCTTCTTCTTCTTCTTCTTCTTCTTCTTCTTCTTCTTCTTCTTCTTCTTCTTCTTCTTCTTCTTCTTCTTCTTTTCCTTCTTTGTCTCCTCTTCTTTTCCTCTTTCTTTTTCTTGAAGTGCCTGGTCTGGAACAGAAACAGCAACCACGACTTTTTCATTCTTTATGTTGTCTGATGTTTTACAGATGTTGATGTTTTTATTTAGCAGTTTAAGCTTTCCGTCTACATCTTTCTTTCCATTTCTTACCTAGTATTTACTCACGTATGGCTAAGTTCTGTATTCTGTAGATGTATCTCAAAACATTTTATTTGGGCTTTCCTTTTGGTTTTGATGAGGATTCTTGCAACACTACAGTGTCCTCATATTTGTATTTGTCACTGCCCCTAGTATTTGCAACATTTCCACTGAGTCCTATTTTTTGGTTTACTGTTTCATTACTTATACTGCAATGTTTTACCCCACAAAACATTTGGTATCAGGGTTTCTGTATCTGTTTTCATATTTCTGTCAGAACATCTTCCATTGTGAATGGGACTTTGGATGTCACGGTTATTTTCTTTATATATGTATCAGATGATGCATATTAAAAATGATTAACTTTTTCTTTAAATGCCTTTCCAATATATAAATTATATTTAAATTTGTTTTTTTGTTTTTTTTGGGAACTACCCTGCTTTAAGTTTTGTTAGCATCAAAATAAAATATCCATTTCTTGTTCTCCCTCATTATCTTGTCTAAAATTTTTTACACACTCAATTCAGAAAAGTTTTTAAACTTTGTCAATGATATATATATATATTTGTGTGTATGTGTGTGTGTGTGTGAATAAACAATATATTGACCAATTTATTGCCTTGAATATTTCAGTGTATCTCATCAGGTTATACTACACAAACTGACCAAGAATTATGAAGCACAAAAATGAATTATTTGAACCAAAATGCAAACTTTCATAGCCCATTGCTACACTGTGAAACGAATGACAGAAGTTGTAGACTGTTCAGCATGTCTTTTTGTTGCATATTGCAGTTACTTCTGTGTATTTCACTGAGTTTAATTCTTGTTTGTTACATTGAGAAAGCAAACTAGCAACCTACAAGAATGAGATTTATTTAAGATATGTAACAATGTAACTTTTAAACTATATTCTTATATTTATTATGTAAACAACAGCAAAAACTAGCGGAACAGGAAGCCTGACTTTGCTGCGGTGGTTAATTAGTTGGTAGAAGCAGACTAATAAGTCTTATTATTTATGAAAAGATAGAAGTTTTTAGATTTGTGTGTAAATAAAATAACCAATATTTTGTTCCAGATCATGGAGACCAGTAATTGTTTCCATGTCTGATATGGGTGTGGAGCGCATTGCCACTGTCATAATACAGAGAGCATGGTTTTGGATTTTTGAGACTTTCTGAAAATTGGCCTCACATAGCCTGTATAGGTCCTCTTGAGGACATTGAGGTTTGCCTCCCAGTCTGTTCCAACTAACTTCCTCATCAGTTGGGTTCTCTTGAGTCCCTTGCTCTGTGTTTTTTCTATCTGTTTTCTCCATGTGAGTCGTGGGTAAAAAGTTACTCCCATATATAACGGTGAGTCATCATGTTTCAGTGCCTGGCTGCCATATGTAAGTGAAACTTTCTGAGGTCTGGTAGAGAGACTGAAAATGGTATGTGTGGTTTTGGCCCCATTTACAGGCATGCCAACTATTGGACCACCTCTATAGAGTTCCGAGGGATTCTTGAAGCCTTGTCTGTGCTTTTCCAGTGTCCTTCTCTGAACTCAGTAGCGCCAGATCATCGGTATACATAACAGCTTGAACTCCATTACAGAGGGTTGATTTTATGTCGTTAATGTAAACTAGGAAAAGAATTGGGGACAAAACTCCGCCTTGTGGAACTCCATGTTTCATTGTGACTGATCTGCTCCTTGAACCCTGTATCTTGACTCTTGCAGATCGATTTTCAAGATATTTTACGATCCACCCAAGCATGTGATGGGATATTCCACTTTCAAGTAGTTTTTGTTTCAGCCCATTTTTCCACACTTTGTCGAAGTCCTTTTCCATATCCACCCAGATTGCAATAGTGTGCTTTTTTTCCTGGAATGCATCTTCAGTGTGTTGAGCAATAAATGTAATTTGGTCTTCTGTTGATCTACAACGTCGAAAACCTGCCTGTTCCTCCATTAGTTTGAAGTTTTTCTCTAGGAACCAGGTCAGTCGGTTGTTCAATAATCTTTCAAATAGTTTGCACAAACAGCTAGTAAGGCTGATGGGTCTGTAGCTGTCTGCGTTGTTCTTCGGCTTTCCTTGTTTCAGGATTACAAAGATTTTAGACTTCCTCCAGGCTGGGGGAACTATACTAAAAATCCAGCTGGCATTAAAGATGTTTAATAATTTCTTTTTGGCACTTGAACCCATGTGTAGTAACATATCATTCGTGATTTTATCAGGGCCAGGAGCTTGGTTGGATTTCAGCTGGTTGAGTCCTGTGTTAAGTTCACTCATTGAGAATTTATCTGTCATGATGCTCTCTGCTGGTTTACTCTTGCTGGCTTCCTCGGGTTCTTTAATTCTTTGTACTACCTCATCTTTTCTGGAATATTCTATATTAATATCACTAACAAATTTAAACTGATTTAAAAGGATATTTGCAGCATCGTTTCCAGATCTGATCTCATTGCCCTCATTTATTACCACTGGACTGGCTTGTTGGGCTTCTCCATTTAGACACTTGACTAGTTTCCAGAGTTTGGACCCATCTTTTTCCAAACTTAGGCTTTTGATTTTGTCTTGCCAGCTCTTCCTAGTTGCTTGAATTGTTTCTTTTTTTTTAGCTTAGCTTCTGCTGCTTTGTAAGCAATGTTGTTTTCTACCGTTGGGTTGCTTTCTACTCTATCTCTTGCTTCTGAGAGAGTTTGGTGGAGGTCTTGAATTTGTTGGGACCAAAATGGGATGTAATGTTTCCTTGAACCCCGAGGTATTGACTATTTGGCTGCTTTTAATAAAGCTTCTGTAAACTCTTTTACTGATTTAGCAACCTGACTTGATTTGCCGTTTACATTTATCGAGTATACATCAGCAAGGGTAGCAAAACTGTTCCAGTCAGCTTTCTTGTAATTCCAACGAGGGGGCGGCATCGAATGAAGGCCTCTCATATTTAGAACAGAAATCAGGATCGGTCGGTGGTCACTACCTGCTAGTTTTGTGTATGCTGCTTGCCAAGTCTAACGTCGCAAATGTTAAGTCTGGGCGGCTGGTTGAACGCCATCTCTTGGAGAAAAAAGATGGGGAATCATTTGGTTTGTTGACTAGCTGGAGTCTGGCATATGTCTGCCAGTCCCCCACTTCTTCTCCTCTCTGGTTTAGCTGTGGATATCCCCAACTTGGAGAGCAGCTGTTAAAATCTCCTAGAACGATGCAATTGTTATCTGGGATTCTCATGTTGTATAACGAGAGTTCTTTGCTTGGCGGGCAGTAGCAGTTGTATAATACAATTTCCTTGCCTGCAATGTTAAGCCTGACACCCATGGTCTCAGACTCCTGTTCTGTGTTCACTGTAAGACTAGCTGCTGGGATGCTGTTTTTTACTAGGATGAGGACTCCTCCCTTGGGACCATTTTCTCTGTCCTGTCTGAAGCACTGGAAGCTTCTAATACAGAATCTGTGCTTATCTCACAGGTGGGTCTCCTGTATACAGGCAATGTTAATATTTCCTTCTGTAAGATGTTTTGTGAGTGCAGCTTTTCCAGTAAATGTTTCCATGTCTGATATGGGCGTAAAGCGCATGGCCCCTATCATAATACAAAAAAACGCATGGTTTTTGGATCTGTGAGATATTCTGAAAATGTGATTTAGCTTCTGTGCCCCAAGCAGCTATCCCATATTCTAGTGATGAACTTACTTAGCATTGGTAATCTTAGTTTCAGCTTCATAGCAAACGAGTCACCCCATAGTTTCTCCGCTCATGTGCCATTGAAAAACACACAGAATGTTAGTCGCAATCCCTTGTGGAAAGATTGATAGACTGCTGTCTCAGCATATGCACTAGCATACACACGCATTAAAAGCATACGGTAGCCATCAGAAGTGTTAACACAAACAGTTTGACATTATAAATCATCGACGGCAGCAGAAGTCGCCAGTGCGATCAATATTAATCACATAAGGGCACCACCAATATTGGCGACAGACCCCACGCTATTTTCTGAATCTACAGTTCACAACACCACGTTGGTCACAGTCGAAAAACATTCCAAATGAAATCCGCAGCTCACAGGGTCGCGCCATGCACCAACTCAGTAGCTGGCGTGACGAAACTGTATCCTTTCAGTCTACAAATGGATCAAAAATGCAACGGCCACTGTCTGGCAGAAGCAAAGCCTCGACGTGAAACAGTAACCGCAACTGGCATCCATTTTGACCGGAAGGGCTCACATAGCCTATATAGGTCCTCTTGAGGACACTAAGGTTTGCCCCCCAGTCTGTTCCAGCTAACCTTCTCATCAGTTGAGGAGTCCCTTGCTCTGTGTCTTTTCTATCTGTTTTCTCTTTATGAGTCTTGGGTCACAGGTTACTCCTAAATATGACGGTGAGTCCTCATGTTTCAGTACCTGAATGCTATATGTAAGGGAAGCTTTCTGGGGTTTGATGGACAGAATGAAAATGGTGTGTGGGGTTTTGGTCCCATTTACAGGCATGAACCAACTATTAGACCACTTCTCTAGACTTGAGGGATTCTTGAAGCCTTGTCTGTGCTGCACTTCTGAGCTCAGCAGCACCAGATCACTGGCATACTTGACAGCTTAAACTCCATCACAGAGGGTTATTCCTCTTTGTTTTGTTTGCAGGATGGAGCTACACCTCTTTTCAAGGCTTGCCACAAAGGGCACCTGGACACAATAGCTGAGTTACTTCAACATAAACCTAATGTTCACATTCTTGAAGTAAGTTCTTGCCAGGCATTAAACAACTGTGGTGTCTTTGTTGTTGATCAAACACATTTTGCATTAGGTATAGTTTCCTTGTACACAAAATTAGTCTTGGTTTTGTTTTTGTTGGTGAAATCTACTTAACCACTAATTGGCACCAACTGAAACCTGTCATATTTGATGTTTTGGCAATATTCCAAAACTCAGATGGATTACATCCAGTCAATACCAGTAGATTATTTTATCATACTTTTCTGATGTAACAATTTAATGTAACAATCATCATGACAAATTTCCACTTTTGCCATTAAGCTTGGTAAGAAGCTAGTTCCTCCCCCTCCTTTGCTCGATAGCACTGGCTTTTGTCATTCTTACAAAGTCTTTAATATCATCAACTCATATTCTCCTAAAGCGCCCTGTTGCTTTCACTTTTAAATCTTCCTGTGTTGGTAGTCATTGTGCATGCATTCTGACAAGATGACCAAACCATTTGATCCTCTACTTCTGAAAACATTTGCTACAAGGTGTTGCTGCCGCAATATGTCTAATAGTATAATTTTTCATGCTGTCTCAGATGGTTAAATTGGTGGCTTTACTCAGACATTTCCTCTCACATAATGCAGAAAGAAAGAAAAAGGCAGAACTATGTGTGGGTTCTGGGGTCTTACTTTGGGGGGGGGAGGGTGAATCGACCCACTGCCCCCTGACAAGCATGTTGCATAGGGCAACTAATTAGAAGTGTTTTCTTCGAAATCAGAGTGTATCTTCCTAATGGACTAGGAACTAGCAGTCTATATATACATTTAAGTCAGCCAGATCTGTAAACTGGTTGTGATGGCAAAACTCAAGCTCTGAAACAAGACTCCCATTCAGAAGTGGAAAAACAACCATAACTTATCATTGGAGTTTACAGGTAGTGAAAACTACTAAGAAACTTTAAGAGAAAAAAAGGGGCAAAAATGTTGGGGGTTGGGGCGGGGGGAACAAACTAGAAGTATTGTAGCAGAAAGTGTCATTTTTTTAAAGTAGAAACAGATGTGAGCAAATATCTTATATATATATATATATGTCTGTATGTATGTATGTATGTATGTATGTGTGCATGTGTGTGTGTGTGTGTGCATGCGTGTGTGTGTGTGAGTGAGTGAGAGAGAGAGAGACTAGGAAACATTAGCAGTTTAAATCACAGCTTGGAAAGAGAGAGTGACTAACAACTTTATTTCACTGAAAGAAGTAATATCTTTATATTGTCTTCATTTGTAGTGAAAAACAAATGTCAGTTTGTTTTGTACCTGTGACATTTTTCCCCTCAATATTTCATTTCACAGAATGGTGAAACGGTTCTTCATGCTGCTGCTTTGTTTGGTCATTTGAAAGCTGTGAGACTGTTATTACAATCGGGCGTACGAGCAGATATACAAAATAAGGTAGTATAAAAGATTTCACTAAGAATAAAAATAAAATTGTTTGAAGATTGGATCTGAGAGTTGCAGCAACCAGTGTCCATTACTGTGAGTCCACAATCTGAAGAAGAGGTCTGGTTGCATAATTCAAGCATTCCAAGGGAAAGTCATTAGAGAAGACAGTGGAGCTTTGACTTCTGCCACCAGCAGCATGACAATGGAAGTCATGGATGTGACAAGGGCTCTAGAATGGCTGAAAACCCAGAGGTTCACCAATGCATGTTTGCTCAGCACCTCAGTGAGCATGCTACAGCAGATCAAGGTGGGATACATAAGGAAACTGTGGCTCCATCAGACACAGTATGCAGCATTTCACAAAATCACCTTCAGTTTTGTTCCAGGGCATGCTGACGTGAAATGCAATGAGAGAGCAGACACTCTGGCTGGTAGTGCAATAATCAGAAATGGGCATCTGTGGACAGGAGAGACATCATCAATGCCTTATGAGGGACCAAATGCTTTGAGGCTTTCAGTTTAATGAGATATGATTTTTCACTGAATAGATTGCATACCCTGGGTGTACCATTTGGAGCAGCAAGACAGAAAAGCCATGTAGGAGGCACCCGTTGTTACATCAGCCAGAATAGAATGGGAGCAGTTAACCTAGAAACACTTGGAGACATACTCAGGAGGAGATTGGAGCACTTATGGTTGTGTTCGATGTGCAATGAAAATGATTTCAAAAATTACAATGAGCAGTGAACAATTCAAACATTCAATGGTAGACCTCCTTCTTCTTCCAACTGCCTCAGTGACGTTAGGAGAGGAGTAAAGATTTTCTATGTGCTCTTTCTAATGCTCTGTGTTAGCTGGTCTTTCTTCCTCTAAGGTTTTTTTTGACATTGTCACACTATCCTTTTCATGGTCTTCCTTAATTTAGTAGATTTCCTCTTTACAGTCTATGTTGTGCGGTTGTCTTGTTTTCTATATTACAGTCTATGCTGTGTGGTTGTCATGTTTTCCATATTTCTTCTGTCTAATATGTGTTATCAATAATATCTGAAACAGTTTTTGGTTGCCTTTTTTTTTTTTTTTAAACAAAAGTATGGACGATATAAGATGGAAACAGTAACTTGTTCATCTCTGATAACTAAAACTGAATCATTTGCTGCAGAATTTGTGATGATGTATAATTAAATAATAGTCTGTTGATTGCCCAAAAATTAACATAATTTGACTGCTTAAATTGTTTTTCTTCTTTAACTGGAAGGATGGCCAAACAGCAGCAGAGCTGGCAATAGAAGCAGGATATGACTACATAGCTACCTACATCAACAACTTTAAGCTGGACCCAGATGGCAAAAGCTTAGCTGGCACATACACAGAAACTGATGGGTGAAGCGTTCCTTAACAAACCAAACATAACTTCTTTTTTTTTTTTTTTTTTTTTGCTTGTAAAGACTTTAAGATGAAGTCTAAATGCTGGCACAGTAGCTGAAACACTGGCAGACATTTTGGTTATCAACCACAGTATTTCTATTTTCAAGAAAGATCTACTCCAAAAAGAAAAAATTGCAAATTTCTGTTTTTCTGAAAATCATAGACATTGAGATTAGATGGTTTGCCAGTCTTGCTCTGTCTTATGTAAAAGTGAAATCTGTCAATTTCTCAACATTTAGTTAACAATAGTAATTAAAATGTTGACATTTTTAGTGTTTATGCAACTTCCAGACTTTACATCAATTGTTTTATTAAAGACACCTTATATATTTGATATAAGACCTTGTATTTTTCAAATAAGACACCTTATGTGTTTCATATAAGCACATTTTATGTTTGATGTAAGACACATTTTATGTTTGATGTAAGACACATTTTATGTTTGATGAAAGATACATTTTATGTTTGATGTTAGACACATAATAGCAATGCATTGTTTAATAAGTGAGAAAAATGACTACAGTAACACAGATATTGCCTAACAGTTAACCAAACAGTTTATAGCTGTTTTTTGTCTCATGGATTGCAGAATTAGACACTGTATAGAGTGACCACCTGCCATGTACTGTCCTGCTGTCTAAATCTGACATGACTATGGTAAGGAAAGCATGTAAAGTCATCAGATATGACAAGACAGAGTCGCTTATTGCGTGCCTTAAGAGAAGAGCATGGTCAGGGACCACCAGGAGTAAATTCATTCAGTGACCATGGTGGACTCTAGAAGTGGAGCAAGCTTGGAAAGTAAAAAAGATAGGAGTGAAAGAATGGCAGCAAGTGGTTGCCTCTTTTGCTGCAAGAGGAGATGAGAGCAGCAGAAGTTTAAAAGAAAGCCAAGATTGCCAAGTTCAAGTTGTGTGTCACAAAAGCTAACAAAAGTGAAATGGGAGCAGTTTGTGAGCCAGATTTTGGGAGACAGAAAAATGGGTAAATTCTGGAAACTGCACAGGCAGACGAGCCAAAAGGAGCAGCCCACCTCAGTTGGTATGATTTACTGTGAAAATTGCCAGGTACTGATGAATGACAGTAAAAAGGGCAGACATTTAGAGCAGACAATAGAATGACCAAACCATAGGAAGATATTACTAGGACAGGCGTATTAGAACATCATGCAAGTAAATGATTTAAAGCATATTCTGATGAAGAAAAAAAGATAAAGAGTTAGGTATAATCATACGAGAAGTTTAAGTGTAGAGGAATTCAGGAAATGGTGCCATGTTTCAACTACAATATTGCAGCATCATCGGTTCCAATGAATGGTTGAATAGGTATCTCATACCACTTCTGAAGACAAAAAAAGATCATACCAAATTGAATGGTTATATAATTATTATAATACAGAACATTTGGTCAGATTATTGAAAAGATAGTGGCAGGCTAATTACAGGATTACCTTGTAAAACATAGCCTGTTACCAAGAGGGTTAGGAATTTACCGAACAAGAAAGGAAACATGGGAAAATGCTGCAATCATGCAGCTCGATCAGACAGGTTTGTGCTACTGACAAGATAGCGCATGGCAAAGAATGGGTTACAGTGCCACCCAACACAACAGACTTGCACAGAGTGATAGTTACATTAGACCGAGCATGCCGGGAATGGATAGCTGGTGAAGCAGAGTCAGCAGTGCAAGAGCTAATCAATTCTTCTTCTTCTTCTGCGTTCGACATCAGTCATGCTAAACATTGATCATGCTAAACATTGAGTCCCGTCTGGGTCACAAATAGGATTGTGCATTTAAGGTTGCCACTGGTCCCCCATAGCTTCTCTTGCAATGTGGCTCTCTTGGGCCAGATCCACAGTCTTTGCTGGGAGAGGTAAGGGCAGTACTGCAGTATGTGCTCAGGGGTCTGTCTTTCTGCTCCACAATCACAGGCAGCAGATTCTTTTATGCCTATCCTGTACAGGTGTGCTCGAAGACCAAAGTGTCCTGTCCGAAGTCTAAAAATTGATATTTGTTCTTTCCTGTTGAGTTTGTTTATGCTGTCACTCTCTGGTCTGTAATCTCCATTCTGCTTTCTCCACTCCCGCTTAAAAGACTGCTTTAGCGCTATTTTGGTTTCCTTGTAGTTGCAGATATTACCTGCTGGTAGAGACAGAGTTTCTGCTCTACTGCTAGGGGGTTTAATGTATATTCCACAAACCCCCTTTCTGACTGCATCTGTAGCAGAGCCGTCGGTGAAAACCTGAGTCCAAGTGGTGTTTGGATACTTCTCATCAAGCATAGCAAAAGCCAGGGTTCTCTGTTGTGTCTCCCTCTGGGCATCTTTTGAAGGGATCCCTGGTATCTTTAGGACTACATTTGCCTTCTCTGGTTTGCTTGTCCATGGTTCTGGCCTAACATTTCTTTCAAGCAGATCTTGGTGCTGTCTGTACAGTTCTCTAGCAAGGTGGTTGGGGCTCTGATTCTGCAGTCTGTTTTTTGTTCTCTCTTGAAATTTAAATGCAGTGGGTGACTTTGAAGTCTTTTTAATTTCTTATACTGTAAAAGAGTTTTGTATTGTCTTCTGAGTTCGAGTGGTTCAGCATCTGCTATTCTCTCTATCTCTCTGATGAGGGTGGTTTTTATGGCTCCGAGAACAATCCTTAATCCCAAATTCTGAACCTTGTCCAGTTTTCCAATTGTTGTCTTGGCTGCTGCAGCCCATGCAGTGGAGGCATATTCCATGACTGGCCTGACTGCTCCAGTATATACTTGTTTTAAAATTCTGGAGTTAGCGCCCCATGGGGTACCCGCTAATTTTTTCATCACTGCAAGCTTCTTGAATGCTTTCCCCTGTAGTGATTCTACATGTGACTTCCAAGTTAGTCGCGAATCAAGTGTAACGCCAAGAAAGGTAGGTGTGTCAGTCTGTCGAATGAGCTGGTTTTTTATCCAAATTTCGATTTTTTTCTTTTTTGGGGGAGAGAGAGAAAAGTGATGCTGTGCTTTTTGAGTTATTTAGCTTTAGACAAGAAGTGACAAGAAGGGACAAAGTCCGCAATCAGTCAATACGTCAAGATCTTGATACCCAGCCCTTACTAACCCGAGTAGATCAGTCACAGTTACGATGGTTTGGACATGTATGCAGAATGGGAGAAAATCGGCCACCATGGCAAGCATGGGAGGCTAAGAACCAGGGAACCAGACCTCCGGGACGACCCAGGGTGCGCTGGGAAGACAACATCCAACAGTCCCTAACTGACAGAGGACTGGAATGGAACAAAGCCAGAAAGAAAACTGCTGATAGAGACGTCTCTCTGGCAAACCTCTACACCCCAAGGTAGAAGAGGAGCGACTAAGTAAGTAAGTAAGTAGCTTTAGACCCCACTTTTCAGTCCAGGCTTCTACATTTTTAACAGTTGTCTGTAACAGATATGAGGCTGTGGTAGTGTATTCAGAGGCTGTCTAAACTGCAAAGCCATCGGCATGTAGGGTATTGAAAACATGCTGGTGGCAGGTTGCTCTGATATCATTTATGTAAACCAGGAACAGAGTTGGTGCTATTGCACTGCCCTGGGGAACTCCTTCTCTTAGTTTTGTCAGTTTGCTAATGTCTCCATCAATTCTGGATCTGGCTCTGCATTGGAAAAGAAAGTCTTTGATCCACTTGTACATGTTGTGCACAACTCCTGCCTGTAACAGTTTTAGTTGTAGGCCTTCTTTCCAAACTGTATCGAAAGCACGAGAGAGGTCAAAGAAGACAGCAAGAACTTTCTTTTTATCCTGGAAGGTATTCTCTATTTCCTGTGCCAGATATGTCAACTGGTCCTCTGTATTTCTGTGCTGTCTGTATCCTGTCTGTGTTGTGGTGATTACAGAGTTTGTCTCCAAGAACCACATTAGTCTTTTATTTACTAATTTCTCCATCAATTTTCCTACACAACTTAGAAGGCTGATGGGTCTGTAGCTTTTTGGGTCTCTTCTGTCTCCACCCTTTTTAAGGATAGGCTGGATGAGAGCTTCCTTCCAGGCTGACGGTACTACACTTTTTTGCCAATTCTGTTTGTAAATGCAGAAAAGAAACTTCTTGGCAGCAGGTCCAAGATGAGAGAGAAATTTGTTTGTAATTCCGTCAGCCCCTGGGGCTTTCTTCATTTTCAACTCTCCAATTCCAACTTCCAGCTCTTGCATGGTAAACTTTTCTGACATGCAGGCCTCGGTTGTTTTTGTGCTAGAGTCTGCTAGAAGAGTCTTGGTCTGGTTTTGTACTTCTTTTATTCTTTGCATGGGAATATGAACCTCAGTTTCCTTCTGAGCTAGCACATCTGCTGCTACCTTGCCAGTAACAGTTCCATCGTCTGTTTGGAGTACAACTCTGGCTTTTTCTGTCTTGTCTTCATTCAGGCTTTTTGTGAGATTCCACAGACGTGAAGTGTCCTTCTCGAGGTTAAATGACGCTGTCTTTTTGTGCCAGCTTTCCCTCATCTGATTATTTCTCTCTTTGATGAAGGCTGCTTTTGCTCTGTTATGAAGTATTACATTTTTATCTGTCAGATCCTTCTCCATATTTTCCCTCCTGTTACTAAGTTTGGAATGCAGAGTGTCCAGTTCAGGCATTCCAGTGCATAATTGTCAGTTTGTGTCCAATTGCATTACTCTGTTCTTCCCTGGTCACTCCAGAAGATTTAGAGGTTGTGGCTCTAGTAGCTTGGGGTGGGCCCCTTCGGGCCCCTTCGAGGCAGGGGGCCCCGGCGCCACAGGAGAAATAGAACAGAAATATCTAGAGATCTGCAGTTAGTGATAGATAAGGTAGGTGAGTGTATGAGGAAACAGGCTCGGCCATCAACTCGGATAAGGCGGAAGTATTGTGGTGTTCTTTAAATAATAGAGATATGTTGCCGGACATCACAAAATACGGAGTAATATAAAGAAGATAATTCACTAAAATATCTAGGAATTACATTTTACAGAAGTTTGCCT